CTTAGGCAAGTGTTTGAAGTGTTGAGAAAACAAAAATTATATGCTAAGATGGAGAAATGTGAGTTTTTCATGGAGAGGGTAGTCTTCCTAGGCTATATAGTTTCGGGAGAGGGAATCATAGTTGATCAATCAAAGGTTGAAGCAATTAGAAGTTGGCCCGAACCTAAAACCATTAGTGAAGTAAGAAGTTTTCATGGTTTAGCCTCATTTTATAAGAGATTTGTACCCAACTTTAGTACCCTAATGTCACCAATCACCGAGCGCTTAAAAAAAGGGAATTTTGAGTGGACAAAGGAGGCAAAAGATGCTTTTGAAGTGATTAAAAAGAAACTTTGTGAAGCACCCATTCTAGCTCTACCCGATTTCCCTAAGGTGTTTGAAGTGGAGTGTGATGCTAGTGGAGTTGGGATAGGGGCAGTCCTTACTCAAGATAAAAGGCCATTAGCATATTTTAGTGAGAAACTCAATGATTCTAGGAAGAAATATAGCACTTATGATAAAGAGTTCTATGCCATTATTAGAGCCTTAGATCATTGGAGTCATTATTAGAGGCCTAAACAATTTGTGTTGCATTCGGATCACCAAGCTCTCACGTTTATTAATGGGCAACATAAGCTGAACTCAAGGCATGCCGAATGGGTTGAGTTCCTTCAATCCTTTTCATTTGTGTCAAAGTACAAGCATGGAAGTACTAATGTAGTTGCAGATGCATTGTCAAGGAGGTACTCCATCCTTTCCATTTTGGATGCAAGAGTACTTGGGTTTACCATGATGAGGGAGCATTACAAAAAAGATGAACAAATGGCCGAAATTATGGCTAAGTGTTCAAGGGGGAGCTTTGAGGATTATGTGGTTCAAGAGGGATTTTTGTTTAAGGGAAACAGGTTGTGTGTACCTCAAGGGAGTTTTAGAGAATTACTTGTGAGAGAGGTGCATGAAGGGGGGCTTGCGGGTCATTTTGGGGTTACCAAAACCTTGGAGATTCTTAAGGATAATTTCTTTTGGCCTAAGATGATTGGGAATGTCCAATCCATAGTAGCAAGATGTGGGGTATGTCATAGAGCTAAAAGCCATTTCAAGCTGAGGATGTACACTCCATTGCCCATTCCTAACCAACCGTGGGAAGACTTGAGCATGGACTTCATTGTGGCATTACCAAGAACCCAAAGAGGTAAAGATTCCATAATGGTTGTTGTTGATAGATTCTCTAAGATGGCACATTTCATTGCATGCAACAAAACCAGTGATGCATCACATGTGACTGAATTATTCTTCAAAGAAATTGTGAGGTTGCATGGTGTACCATGGAGCATAGTGTCAGATAGGGATACAAAATTTCTTAGCCATTTTTGGAGGTCTTTGTGGAGTAGATTGGGTACCAAACTTTTGTTTAGCACTTCCCATCACCCCCAAACTGATGGTCAAACCGAAGTCACCAATAAAACCCTAGGAACCATCCTTAGAACCTTGGTGAGCAAGAGTTTGAGAGATTGGGACAACAAGTTAGCCCATGCCGAATTTGCCTATAATAGGTCCCCTAGTGCTACCACTAACCATTCTCCTTTTGAAGTTTTTTATGGCCTTAATCCTTAGGGGTGGAAAATAAAGACCGAAAACCGAACCGAATAGAAAACCGGACCGAAAACTGAACCGAAAATTCAGTATTTCTAAAATCTGGTTTGGTTTTCAGTTTAAAAAATTCATAAACCGATTAATCGGTTCGGTTTTCGATTTACAAGTATTTTTAAACCGGTTAACCGAAACCGAACTATAAAACCGGTTTCAAAAATAAATAATACATATTATTATAATTAAGCCCACCGCCACTTTTCTCTTTCATCTATCTTTTCCATCATTTTCAATCTTTTCCTCACTTTTCTCTTTCATCTTTCTCCGTCACTTCTCTCTTTCAACTTCCTTTTTCATCATATCTTCTCCTTTACTTTTCTCTTTCATCTTCATCTTCTTCTTCTCCCTTTCTTCTTTTCACTTTTCACCTTTTTTTCGTCTTCTTTTCCATCTCTTCTCCTTCAGTTTTCTCAGTCTCATTCTCTCTTAGTCTCTGTCTCTCACTCTCACTCTCACTCTCGCGCTCAGTCTTATTCTCTATCTCTCACTCTCTGTCAGACTCTCATTGTCTCTCCGTTTTCAGATCTACGTTCTCACGTCATCGTCGCTCAGCTGCAGTCGCCGTCGTCATCTGTTGTCGGTGGGTTTTTAGATCTGTGTTGTCACGTTTTCAGATCTGGGGTTTGACATTGAAGATTTTGGTTTTAATTCTTGTATATGTACTGATGGTGATGGCTATGTATTTGTTAGTTAGAACTTAGAATGAATGATTTAGAACTACAAGTTTTTTGTGTTACTTCATCAATAAATGAATAATGATTTTGGAGTTGAGAATCAATTGTTATTTGGTTAGAAATGACTCAGTTGTTTGATTTTGGATCTTGGTGTTCAACGTCATTAAACCTGGAAAAAAAAAATAAAAAGGACTGAATTGGGCAAAAAAATGCAGCCCATAATGGTGACCGAATTGGGCCAAAAAAGACAGCCCATCGTAAATTTTAATTAACCGGTTTATAAACCGATTAACCGATTAACCGAACCAAATTTTTGGTTTGGTTTATTACCGGTTTATAATCGAATAGGATCGGTTTCGGTTCAATTTATTTTTAGAACCGAAAATCGGTTTGGTTCAAACAACAGGTTAACCGGTCCGGTTAACCGGATTTTTCCACCCCTATTAATCCTATCACTCCTATAGAACTTAGTATCCTACCCCTTGATATCCAATTGAGCCTTGATGCTAAGGAGATGGCCAAGTCCATGAAGAAGCTACATGAAACAATTACGGCCCAAATAGCCAAATCCAATGAGGCCTATCTAAAGAAAGCCAACAAACATAGGAAACCCACCATTTTCCAACCGGGTGATCTTGTATGGGTTCATTTGAGAAATGAGAGATTTCCTTCCAAGAGGAAAAGCAAGTTGGTACCTAGGGCCGATGGTCCCTTTGAAGTCCTTAAAAGAGTTGGGGATAATGCATATAAAATTGATTTACCCTCTGAATTTGGCAATGTTTCGGCTACTTTTAACATTGGGGACTTGTCTCCATACTTGGAGGATGGAATACTTTTGGATTTGAGGACAAATCCTTCTCAACCCGGGGAGGATGATGAGAATCCAAGCCCATCATGTTCATCACAAATGCCAGGAACTTCAATGAAGACTCAAGGGCAACATGAAGAACAACATTCGGCCCAAGCAACCCAAACACTCAAGGAAGCTCACAAAATTGTCTAAGAGGTCTTAAGGGTCCAAGGAATAGCTCAAGTCCTATTTTGTGGCCCAAACCATGAAAAACAAGTGGGGACAAGTTACCTTGGTCCAAGCCCAAGTTTTGGATGTCATTTGATTCAAATTGTGGAGAGAAATCCCTAAAATTATTATTAAGGACATAGGTCCTTAAATTAGGGAAAGGTTGTCCATGGCATTAAATGGGTATGGCTTGCTTTTGACTTGTATGGTGGAGAATTATTGTTTACTAAATTTTCATGTATTATTTTAATGTTTCCATCATGTAATTTTGCTAGGGTAAATCCCTTAATTTTGTAAAGCCTATTTAAAGGCCACTTGATCATATTTTGGAGTGACATTGAATATTGAAGTGAATAGTACTTTTGCCTTGATAAATTGTTTTCTCTTGCTTTCCTTTACCCAAGTTCGGCCAAACTTGGTGGTGGAGTGTCTTTCAAGTTGGTGGAGTTTCCTTTAAGCTTGATTGATCCCTTGGCCATCTCTTTTGTAAGTTATTTTTCCTTTTGCTACAATTTACCTCTTTTCCAGATTTTGTTTGCATGGTGTGTGAGTCCGTTTGTGGTGTATTTGAACAAGAGTGCCTTTGTGTTGATTGGAGTTTGATACAAGGAGTTGTTCTAAGTTGTCATAATAGTTGTGTGTGTATGGAGGGTGATAGGCAAATGGTCTTAAGGAGTTGGAAGAAAGACTAGCCTAAGTGGAGTTGGAATTGGTTGAATTAGGGTGGTATATGAATTGTGGTTGTAAGAATTCATATCACATGGCAAGATTGTGAGTGATTAGGCCAGATCTAGTCTTGAATTGAGCATGGCTAGGCCATCTTTGCCAGAGAAGAAGAGACAACTTGACCTCCGAATCGCATACGTCCATTGCCTCATTCTCCTCCACATCTGTTTGTTCGTTGCCAAGATGAAGGGTTTGTTTTTGTATTTATTTTCATGGATTTTATGGGTGATTTTGTATCTTCTTTTTCTTATGTTTTGTTTATTATGAATTTATGTTCATGGTGTTGAGGTGGAGGAAATTTTTTGATGGAATTAGAAGTGAATATTTCTGTAGACCAAATTCTGGGTTGTTTGGAAGACGTATGTGAACCAAATTTTGGGTTGAAAATTTGTGAAGAGAGAAATCCTTTGCTCTTTTTCCTTTTTTTGTTCCAATTCTCTCCCTCTACTTTATTTGATTGTTGTTGTGTATAACTACCTAGTCGCCGGCGATTGCCCATCATTTACAACCTTCTCGTAGCCAACTCACCCACCACTTATTTAGACGAAATTCCTCACCCAAACTAAATTCTGGTTTTTCAGAAGAGTTATTTTAAGCAAAATCTGGATTGTAGGAAAGGTTAATGTGAAGTAATTTCCTAGTTGTATTGAAGAATTATGAAAAACAAATTTGGTCTTAGAGAAGAATTATTTATAATCTTTTTATATGGAAGAATTATGTAAAATTTTTATTGTATGAAAGATTTAAGTTTAATTTTTTTATTCATAATATTCATATGATATTAAATTATTTATATATTGGCAGATTTATTAATTAACACAACACATATATATATATTGTGTGAACTGACAAAAATACCCTTTTTACTGTTAAAATTAACGTAATAGGTGGGAAAGTGCCGTCTTAAAACTTGATTGGTGCGAAAGTGTCATTTCGCCAAAGCCTGGGTGGGCAAATCCGTTGTCCCTCTTAACAAACTAAAGACCCACGAAAAACCTAAACCTGAACCCCACTGAAACCGCCCTTAGAAGTTAGAACCAACATCTCCAAGCTAATGGATGCGCTCTTTCTCCATGATCCGCTCTCCTTATCTCTCTTGGTAACATCTTTGTCTCTCAATTTTCACTCTGTTAGCTACCCAAATTAGTAGCTAATTCATAGTCGTTAATTTGACGAACACTACTATATGCTGTTTCATCTTTTGGTGTTTGGCATTGTCTAAATTTTTACTGTTGATTTTGAAGTGTTTCTGTTGTTGGTTTCTTCATTTTGTGTAATGGGTATTGAAGATTTGCGCAAGATAGTTGCTTCATTTACCGTTTCTTTTTATGGGCATGTTTCTGTTTGATAAAAGTCTTCTGATATTTTCGGATTTATTCAAGATAATGATTCTAGTGATGGTTTTGGATTTGGGGTATGCTTCGTAATAAGTGGTGATGTGTATGGTTTTGTTCTGTTGTTATGTTAGATGGGCTGTCAAGATAGTCTCTTTAGAGTACAGAGTTTGGATTTTGTTATATGGGTATGTTTCAATTTGAGGCAAATCCCAGAACATGCTATCTGTGCGACCCATTCGCAGATTTTGCAATTCTGCTGCTGCCGTTGCATCAACCAATCCTCGTGCAGTTGCATTGAATAACATTCAAAATCCCAAGCCTTTGGTAGATAAACCCTTGGAAGAACCTGCCCTTGTCAGGCTTAAAGCTGAGAGAGACCCTGAAAAGTTGTTTCAGCTTTTTAAGGCTAATGCGCACAATAGACTTGTTATTGAGAATAAGTTTGCTTTTGAAGACACTGTTTGTCGGTTAGCTGGGGCACGTCGGTTTGATTACATTGAGCATTTGCTTGAGCACCAAAAGAGTTTGCCGCAAGGTAGACGTGAAGGGTTCATCGTAAGGATTATCATGTTGTATGGGAAGGCTGGGATGACTAAGCAAGCGGTTGATACTTTTTATGACATGCATTTGTATGGGTGTAAGAGGACGGTTAAATCTTTTAATGCTGCACTTAAAGTTTTGTCACAAAGCCGAAATCTAGAAGCAATCCAGACATTTCTTCTAAATGTTCCACAACAATTTCATATTATGTTGGATATATTTTCGGTTAATATTGTTATTAAGGTTTTTTGTGAAATGGGTATATTGAATAAAGCATATTTAATCATGGTAGAGATGGAAAAGATGGGGATAAAACCAGATGTTGTTACATACACAACGCTTATATCAGCCTTCTATAAGAATAATCGGGTGGAGATTGGTAATGGGTTGTGGAACCTTATGTTGCGGAAGGGGTGTTTACCCAATCTTGCAACTTTTAATGTAAGGATTCAGTATTTGGTTAACCGGAGACAATCATGGCAGGCCAATAGTTTGATGCGTTTGATGCAACATCTTCGGATAATGCCTGATGAGGTTACTTATAATTTGGTTATTAAAGGGTTTTGCCAGGCTGGGTATTTGGAGATGGCCAAGAGGGTTTATTCTGCTATGCATGGTAGGGGATATAAACCTAATGTTAAGATTTACCAAACAATGATTCATTATCTTTGCAAGGGAGGAGAGTTTGATTTGGCATATACAATGTGTAAAGATTGCATGAAGAAGAGCTGGTTCCCAAATGTTGATACAATTTATACATTACTTGAAGGCCTTAAGAAGAATAAGCAGCTAGAAAAGGCTAAGATGATCTTGTCGTTGGCTCGCAAAAGAGTGCCACCTTTTTCGTCATATCAATTAAGTTCTTTGCAATCTATTTTTTCAAGGAGTTGACTTCAAATTGACTAATGGCTTGGATCATTTAATTAATGTGATAGTGGAGTTTACGGTACTTATTCTTTTCATTTGAGTCATTGTAAATTGTCAAAAATTAAATGGACATCAGATTATATTGGCAAACATCTGGCCACAGATTAAATTGTACCACCTCAATAAAGTTCGCTGTGAAATGAAAGTTATAGTGGACAGGGGTGACCCCAAATTCTTGTAAGTCATAGTGCATGTTTTCTCTCTCCCTCTTCTACAAATGGTTTACCATTCTTCGCACAATGGACACATATTATTTCAAAATTTTCAACGTTTCTCTATATTTAAACTTTAAAGTGCTAATTCTACCTCTTACTATCTAGTTTGCAATCCATCCTTTGTGCAAGAATTAAATGTGCATGTCCATGGTTGTTCTTAATCTTAACTTTTATAAGCTATTATTTCATGTCATTCTATATTTCTGTTGTGCATGTGCATTTTCATATGTTCATGATTTATCTATTCCTATACTGTAATATTCTTCCCATCTTTTATGCGGAGGGGCCAAGTTTCCTATAGTATGTGTGATTATGAAAGTGTGTTCCTAGTTTTATATGCTGATAGTTTCTGAGTTTTACCGTGTCCCATTCAGTGTTTCTACTTTAGTGATGAGGAACGTAATGACAGTGAGAAGGAGGCAAACTCTTCTATGTTATATAGGAAAATGCTAAATAAGTGAGTATTACATATTTTTGCATTATTTTAAGGTCAAATATACTTGTTTGACTGTTATTTATTTTAGATGGTTTGGTGGCAGTATGCTAAATGCCTCTATATCATGGACGAAAACTTAATAGAGTGAAAGTCATGATTATCGATATGGGTGGTTGGCTGGCCAGGAATAGTTTTCTTTCTTTTTCCTACAAATCTGAAAACTCAATGGGTGCATTTCATCTCAATGATGTTATCAATGTTTGTTAAGTTGGTAACTTTGATCATCCTGATACGATTTCGTGGCAGTGTAGGAATATATAGCCATGTGAAATTCAATACTCAATTCTGTTAGGATACCTTACATTGTGTATGGCAGGGGTGTTCACTTTTATGTAGTTTACTTTGTGGGGTTATGAAAGTTGGCTAGTACCACTGTTTTGTGTTTATAGTTCGGTAGTAACCATACTGTTGAAATCATGCTTAAGAATGGAATTTTACAGCAATTTGATATGCCCAAAGACTCCCTGCCTTATCAGCCGGGCTAATGGAAGCATGTTTATCAAAATTTGTTGCTAATGATATAGTGGATTGCAATGGATGGAGACCAGGAACTTGGCAGTTTGATTGGTGTGATTGAATGCATACTTGAATCCTTATTTGTTCTTGAAGTGCACCACTACGCAGCTGAAGTGACAGTACCTTACTTTTTGTCTGTGCTTTCCCATGGAGGTTAGAAGTTTTCAAGCCAACCTCTGCCTTGTCTGGGAAGAGTTCATAGGAGATAGGGCTCGAGAAAGAAACTCCCTCTAAGAGTGCTGCTGCCTGTTGGAAAACTATTTTAGGAACTTTTAACTTCCAGAGTGCTCTTGACTCTTGCCTGTGTGGAGGACTACTTTAAAAACCTTAAACAGTATATTTTGTGACTGAAAGTGCTTGAGAATGACTAGTACTGGTCCATTGTTCATAAGCTTATTTGTAGCTCCAAGTTGGGGCCAGAAAAATACAAGGCGGACAAAATTATTCAGGCTGTGCTGTAGATGGGATTCAGGACTTCTAAACATCATGAAAAATTGTTAATCAATGTGTATAGATCAACTGGTTGTGGATCCTGAAGACAGCTCTTAAGTTTTGACACTGAGATGAATAGAATACTTGTAGCTATGAGTTTTCTGACACACAGATGAAAAGAAATACTTTTAGCTCGACTTTTGATTCAGATGAATTGAATACATTTACTTGGCTTGCTTACAGAATAGACATTATTTGGAATACCAATCTCATTGAATCAGAAATATTTTTTTTCTGTTTGCGCCTATGTCTCGGCATGTTTAAGATTTAACTATTTTGCTCAGCTTCAAGTTCAATACAAGTATGCAATGCATGTGAACTTAGCAGATAAATTTCTGTATATGGAAATACGATAATGGAACCCACTTCCCTTATCTAAGGTTTTGGGCATAGCCAAAGCCAAATGTGAAATGTACTTTGTGTTGTCAATCTGTTGCACTTTTCTTACTCTTCTTGTTCCGTGTGCTGTGTTTTTATTTTCTTATAAAGAAGCTCCGGATAGGTGGGACTGGGTTCCCACATTCTCTGAAGAGTATTATCAGCTATGGCACTGGAAATTGTATCTACGCCCACCTTGCATGGTGCATGTTAGGATTATGGTAAATTAAATTGCAAAATTTAAAATTCTTATAATGATAAGATTACATTTGGTAATGATTTTATAGCTAACATCATGGCTATACGAAATCAAATTACAATTAAATTATGGATGTAATAAAAAATTGGGGTGTGCAAAAGAATCGATCGGAATTGGAACCGGCGAGTACTCAGGGTTCCGGTTTCAGTTCCTACCTACAATCAGCCCTCATAGGATCGGTAAATCGGAACCAGTACTGTGTGGTTTTGGTTTCTGTTCCACCAGTGTAGGAATTGGAAACGAAATCGAAACTGAGCCCCAGGTAGGAATCGGGACCGAACTATGATTTTTGTAAACTTTTGGGTGTATTTGTAATTTTTGGGAATATTAGGGGGTAATGAATTTTTCGGTACCCAGACCTGGAACTTGAGTTTCAGGTTCCAGTTCCAGGCTTTTAGGAACTGGAACCGGTTGATTACAGTTTCGATTCCAAATTCTAAGAACTGGCTAGTTCTGGTTCTGGTTCCCGTTCCATGAGATTTTGGTAGGTGCTTGGACCCACCTACCCCTAAAAAAAAAACATTTAGAGGGCATTCGATTAAGAGAATGTTGTATTACTAGAAATGTTATAGTAATGAAAAGATAGATTACTTTAAAGATTATTGGGAATGTTATATAAAATGTGTTTGGTTAAATTGGAATAAATTGGTAGGTATGTTACATAGATTACTGAATTGCCCTTTTTTTTTAATATTATTATTTAAATCATTTTTTTAACCCCCTACATTTGAGAATTTAGCTAAACACCCCAACAATAAAAATTTAAAAATTAACAAAAAAACCCCAACCACCAAGAGCATAACCGACCACCGGCCACCATTGCTAGTCGATAGTCGACAGTTGCCGAAACCGTACACGACCAGTTGGATATGGCCGGTTGTGCTCTGATCTAACGACTTCCGGCCACATCTGCGATAGGATAGATCTGGCCAGAAATGACCAAAATAAATTTGGCTGTTTTCGGATAAATCCACAACAATCTGGTCGTTTCCAGCCATTAACTAGTCGGAGGTGGCCAGATCGCTGCACAGTCGGTCATATCCGACCAGTTGTATGCCATTTCGGTGATGTCCCTTGGTGGCCGATGGCTGGCGATGGTGGCCAGGTTTGACATTCTTATAAATTGTTTTAAATAAAAGGCTATTCTTGTCCAAAAGTTTTGTGTATAAGGTTAAAATAATATATAAATATTCTTGTAAATTGTTTTCAAAATAAGGGCATTCTTGTCTAAAAAATTTAATGATTACGGATAAAATTATAACAAAAATAAGTTTACAAATAATAAAATAATACTAAAAAAAATTATGATATTCAGATTACTATCTATATGATTAATAAGAATCACTATTTATTTTGAAAGATTATTAAAATTTTATATTACTTAATAACAAAATCATGATAACGCTAAATAATATAAGATTATACAGTATTACTGAAGTAATCCCGCGTAGTTCCCAATCAAACCGCACCCTAATTAGTATTACTCTTGGTTTGGTTGATGACATTCATCTCTATAGGACTCTAATCTTACACTATTATCACTTCATGTGAGCGAAACTCCTCTTTAATCTCTCTTTCTCGCATGTCTAAGACTCTTTTGTCTCGCATTAAACCTGTTCACAGTCGGAAACCCACTTCTCTTTCACCCTTTCGCCTTACTCCCCGCCTCAAGGAACTCGTCAATGAAACCATTGAAATCCTCAAAACCCACCCACAGTATGACCAGTTGCTTGAAAATCGTTTCGCCGATGAAGAAACCCAAGTTTCAGAGGTTGCCCATTTCGTTTTTGACAAAATTCATGATGTGGAACTGGGTGTCAAGTTTTTTGATTGGCTTTCTAAACAACCCAAGAGCTCTTCTTCTCTAAATGAGTTTGCTTGTTCTTCGTTTTTGAAGCTTTTAGCCAGGTTTAGAGTGTTTTCAGAGATTGAGTTGGTGTTGAATAGTATGAGGTTAGAAGGTATAAAGCCAACCCATGAAGCGTTGAGTTTTGTTGTACGGGCTTATGCGTGTTCTGGGTTAGTTGATAAAGCCTCTGAGTTGTATGATTACGTCATTGAATTACATAATTGTGGTCCTGATGTTTTTACTTGTAATTCATTGCTTGATTTGTTAGTGAAGTGTAAAAAATTTAAACTTGCTCGTAAATTGTATGATGAAATGTGTAAAAGAGAGGATGGTTTGGATAATTATACTACTTGTATCATGGTGAGGGGTTTGTGTAAAGAAGGGAAGGTTGAAGAGGGTAAAATGTTGATTGAGGAGAGGTTTGGAAAGGGATGTATACCTAATATTGTATTTTATAATACACTCATAGATGGGTATTGCAAGAGAGGTGATGTTGAAAGTGCTAGTTTGCTTTTAAGGGAGTTGAAGTTGAAGGGGTTCTTGCCTACACTGGAGACTTATGGAGCAGTGTTATACGGGTTTTGCAAGGATGGGAATTTCAAGGCAATTGATAAACTTTTGATGGAAATGAAAGAGAGGGGTTTGACTGCTAACGTTCGAGTTTATAATAATATAGTTGATGCTAGAATTAAGCATGGTTTTAAGGTTAAAGTAGTAGAGACTGTTCAGTGGATGATGGACAATGGTTGTGAGCCTGATATGGTTTCCATTAATACTTTGATTTGTGGCTTGTGTAGGGATGGGAGAGTTGAGGAGGCTAGTCAACTAATAAAACAGGCAATGGAAAGAGGATTAGAGCCGAACAAGTTCAGTTATACTCCTATTATACATGTCTGCTGTAAACAAGGGGAATATATTAGGGCCTTAAATTTGCTTATTGAGATGATAGAAAGAGGACATAAACCTGATTTGGTCACTTACGGATCTCTTATTCATGGACTTGTTACTGCAGGGGAGGCGGATGTTGCTATGACTGTTAGAGATAAAATGATGCAGAGGGGAGTGTTGCCTGATGCTGGTATTTACAATGTTTTGATGAGTGGACTTTGCAAGAAAGGGAGGCTTCCTGCTGCGAAGATCCTGCTTGGTGAGATGCTTGACCACAACATACTACCTGATGCTTTTGTTTATGCAACTCTAATAGATGGCTTCATCAGGAATGGTGATCTTGATGAGGCGAAGAAACTTTTTGAGCTGACAATTGCTAAGGGAATGGATCCTGGTGTTGTGGGATATAATGCCATGATAAAGGGTTACTGTAAATTTGGATTGATGAATGATGCACTGTCATGTCTGAATAAAATGACTCAGAAGCATCATGCCCCAGATGAGTTCACTTTTTCGACAATTATTGATGGCTATGTAAAACAGCATGACTTATCAAGTGCTCTGAGGATGTTTGGAAAGATGGTGAAACAGAAATGCAAACCAAATGTTGTCACATACACTGCTTTAATTAATGGGTTTTGCCGCATTGGAGATTCTGATAGGGCTGAGCGAACTTTCAAAGCGATGCAGTCTTGTGGTTTGGTGCCCAATGTAGTCACATACACTATAATTATTGGGAGCTTTTGTAAGCAGGGAAGAGTTGCAAAAGCTACTTCCTTTTTTGAACTAATGCTGATGAACAAATGCATTCCCAATGATGTTACCTTCAATTATTTGGTAAATGGCTTCACAAATAATGCACCCAATGTTGTTTCCACCAATGAGTCTGAGGATGACAATAAGCCTATATTTCTGGAATTCTTTGGAAGGATGATATCAGATGGCTGGGGTCATAAGGCTGCCGCCTATAATGCCATCCTCATCTGCCTTTGCTGCCATGGAATGGTTAAAACTGCTTTGCAATTGCATGATAAAATGGTTATTAAGGGCTTTCTTCAGGATCCCGTATCTTTTGCTGCCCTGCTTTTTGGTGTTTGTTTGGAAGGAAGGTCAAAGGAATGGAAAAACATTATACCCTGTAATTTGAATGAACAGGAACTCCAAATTGCTGTCAAGTATTTACAGAGTTTAAAGCAGTATCTGCTCCGAGGAATGACTTCCGAAGTTGCACTTTGTTTCCATAATTTAGTGGAAGACCTCAAGTCTCGGGACCAGAAACTTGACAATTACAAGGTCTCTGTAAGATAGGATAGGGGGCAAATGTAAAAAACTGATCTGGGTTCTGAGAAAACAAAAGAATATCTGATGTTGGGCGTGCAAGTCAGCCTCCCTTGAAAAGCTTAATGTCTCTTTCATTATTCCTCAGCATGGTTACTTTCTTGATTAGGGTATGCGGATGAATGCTTTGAACACTTTGTTGTCTTCTGACCCAACAGATGGCCCTGAAGAATGAGGAACTATTACATATCTGTAGTTTTTTGCATAAATCATGGTAGGTAATTATCATTTGTTTAACACTATACATTCAAAGAATCTGCAATATCACCCTTGTGTTAACGGGCTAGTCTTGATATATGATGCTAGACCGGCAGTTCAATGCGACATGTATATTAGCTGTAATTTTGTTGCATCACAGAGATCGTGTAGACTACTTGCAGTATACTGAACAGGACATGGGTCTTCTTATGGAGGTATGTACCAGGATTTCATTCTTACGTTCTTGTATTTCTGTGATTGTGAAAATGTTTATGATGTGATCTGTTGCACTTTAGGAAAGAAGTGGCTCCTTATTAGGGTTCAGGTGCTTCACTTCATCTGTTGTAATACTGTCTGAATCAAATGATGGTTACAAGTATGTTTATTTGCTTACCTGCCATCTAAGTGGAATATATACAAGAATAATTTATTGGATTGGCAAGTTGCTGAAAATAGATTAATACTGTCGGCAAATAATATATGTGGTTCCTTTCATATAAGATTAAGCGTTTGCAAATCAGGGTTTTTCAACATGAATGAAACTATTTGGAGTTCATGATAAAGTTCTTCTCTGTAATCCGGAGCAGGTATCAAATTTTAACTTGGCTATGCAATGGTAGATTAAGCAGCTTTGGTAAATTAGGTAAAACATGGGCCTAGAATTTTCATTCTTTCAATTGCATTGTACAATTATAAATGAACGATTTGATGACTAGTGTGCAACTATGGCTGTTCTTTCTGACAGGTGTCCTTCAAGTACATCATATGTCTTTGAGGTTGCATAGCTTGAAAACTAACAACAATTACCCTATTACATGACAAAAGGAGAGTTGAATGTGATCTCATAGTTGACGTTGAACCTTAATACTCATCAATGACAACACTTGATTAAGTTACAGTACTATAACCTGTAGTTAATTGTTAAACTTATACAAATATGGAAACTAACCTCTTTATCACCCAATTCTATATATTATTTGATACTATCTACATGCAGAAGTTGGCATGGCATATCTGAAGTTGCCTGTAGTACCTGCTCAAATCCTGCAACAATTCATTAAAGGTCAAAGATGGAACAGCAGTATCGTCATTGTTAAACCCAAAGTAGATCTTGCTACGATAAAACGAAGATGAAAAGAGGACATACTGTGTATATTCGACATTGATTTTTCTTCCATTATGGTTGGAAATGGCTGCAAAGGCATCGGTAGACAGTTGGATCGTAGATGGGCAGGGTGCCTTTGTGCAGAAATCCACCACCTTGACTTCAATGGTTTGCTGCTTGCATGGTCTATTGGCTCCACTTAGACATCTCAATCTATACCGCCTTCCACAAGCAGCTCCGTTATCCCACAACCCTTCACTCACCGCAACAAATAGCTTGCTTGGCGGGAACTGATCTTGTCTATTTCCATAACATCTGGTAGCTGCAGAAGATGGAAAATCACTATACATAAAAATAGAGAAAACTTATAAACTATGTTTTGTCATTTCAAACTGTTTGTAAACTTGATTTCTTTTCCAAGTTTATGAATGAAAAAGTGCAGTTTACTCACGTATATATGGCGGGTGATAAGATGTTGCGGTGCCAATATCCCCATAGACTACGGATGCTGTGCTGCTTGTTAAAGCTACCAGAATAGTCAAGACCAAGCGCCCCATCACAAGAGATGTCAGATGTAGATCCTGTTGAGGCCTGGCTTGCGTCAAATTTATAAATGAACAAACCGACTTACATTTTCTATCCTACAGGTAATTAGGTGCATCTTACGAAAGTAGGAATCGTGAGGCATCGACTAATGCAATTTCAGTTTTGGTTGTTTTGCCTTTAACATTTCATTTTCAGGTTACGTGCACTCTTTTACAAAAGTTCTTGTGTAATTGTTTCATATTGTTCCATTCCCTTGTGGGATTTTCCAAAGGGTAAATTGTATTGGAGGAGAGTGGCCATAATTTTTTTTCATGTCATGTATACTGAGTAAGCAATATGTATGTATGATCTATCGAAGATTTTTGACCAAGCAATATGTAATTTTAAATCATGTCATGCATACTGACTCAAAAAGTCAGACCTTTATGGAGTAATGGTTTCCAGTTCAATCATAGGAACAAAAGGGGATAATTTTTTCTTTCCCATTCAAATCATCACAAGCGAAGTGGTTGTCCTTTTTTCTTCTTGTTTTTAAGCTTTAAAAGGTTGTGTGTTGCATGTGATGGTTGCTACTTTAAGCATAGTGCTGATTTCATGTGAACATTTGGATTTGAGAATCTTAGTTAGTTCATTTTTAACGGAAACCGTGTCTTGGTCCGTGAGTTGCGCATTAGAAATGTAAAGCTGCGGTGCCCAAACTTTTATTGAGTCAAGATTGTATTTCAATTTGAGTAATATTAGACTCACAATTCAATCTTACAACCTTTTCTTATAACCTCAACGTGACAGTCAGCTCTCACTACACCTAAAACACTAAATGATTTTGACAAGACACGAACGATCATTTCTTAAGGATGAACAACTGTTCCTTTATAAATAATGGAACATAAGGAACAATTATTCTTTCATAAGGAATGATTGTTCCATTCATAAAGAACAATCATTCCTTATGAATGAATTCCTTATGAATGAACGGTCGTTCGTCCTAAGAAATGACCGTTCGTCTAAAGAAATGACCGTTCGTCTCTAAGGAACGAGCATTCATGTTTAATCAAAGTCATCAATTGACGTTGTAGTGTCAACTTTGTTATCAGGCTAAGATTGTGAGATTGTAACGTAAACGGAATATTTTTGTTTCAATTTTAGTTGAATAAGATGAATCTCCTATTCATTGTTTCTTTTGTTAAACCATTTTTAATGTTCAAATATTTGCCAAGAAATGTGGGTCCAAGCCCAACCAGAAGCCGAGGAGGCAAGTATGCATTGGATTTGGAGAGCAGAATCGCAATATNGCCTTCTCTTTATTCTTTATCCTAATGTCTTTTAGTGATTCTTTCATGGAGTATTGAACATCAAAAGGAACTTTTTTACAAGCACCAACATCCCCCTTTGTTCCAGCTAGATGTTGTTTCATTCTAAAAATACCTCCTCCTCTAGTTACTTTCCCACAGTGAAGACATCTTAATGTCTTCCTTCCATTTGGATCTACACCCTCAATAACATGTGCCCATGTTATATTAGTCCTACCTCTACTAGATTGTGAAGAAGACCCAGAGCCAGATGTTGCCATTATCTATTTTTAATCTTTATCTACCTATCACACAAGAAACAACAACAATTATCACTCGACTAATTGCAAGTTCACCGCTGTGTAATCTCAAGATAAATGCAACCAACAATTTTTAATCTTTTTCAAGATCATCTGTGAGTAAAATTTTTCGTATAATCAAAAGAATCAAATACAAAATAAATTGTTAATTGTTTTTATATGGCATATAAATGTAACATAAAACAAAACTTGTCATCACTCACAACCACAGCCATGAAAGAATATGATTACTACATAGCTTATGCTAACAGGAGCAAGCCTCAGAATGCAAAAAAACTATCATAACAACTATTAGGCTATCAGCTAAGGGAAGCTTTTTATGACCTGAAAATCTATACTAGCTAATCCAATTACTTAATCATCTATAGTCTCTCAGCAAAAGCAATTTTCATCTTTGTTTAAACTCTTGGTCATGTATCAGCATTTTCAAAAAAATATTGCAAACTCTACATCCAATCAGTGGTAGAGCATTGAACTTTTTGTAGTAGAATCAATCAAGGACTGATTTTTAACATCAATATCTAGTTCTACAAAAATTAAAAGATCCCAACAACTATAATATCTGGTTCTAATTATTTGTGGGGAACATATCACATATATAGTCCTTGAAACAATGGAGTTGAGACTTCAATTAACGTTGTCATTAATTCCATCCAGTTTGTTGTTACTTTCAAATGTTGCCGGGATTGTATCTGGATTTTCAATCTCGGCATACTGCATATTTAATTTGAAGCCGAGAATTTTAGTTATTTCATTGATCTCATTCTTCTTTGTTCTACAAGTGTGTTCACTATTTTCTTGAAGCAAGGGATTCATACAGATGTTTTAGATCATGTTGATTTACTCATATGATAAGATAGGAATCAAATTTAGAAACGTAACACATGAGTTAAGAGTCATGGAGAGTGACATTATTGATTAGGCTCTATTTGGTGCAATACTGCAATGCACTAATTAAATCCACTGCACTTTTTTTTTGTGCAAATATAATTGAATCAAAGCAGAACCATCCTCAAGATCATGTTAATACAACCACAACAACTCTATAGATTGAAAAATGAAAAGGGTGTTAACTTAAATGTAAAGGGAACGAGGAATGGCGTTACCTGGATCGACGAATAGAGCTATCGCCGTCGATTTCCAATGAGGGAGGAAGATGTCGTCGATTTTTGGCAAGGGAGGAAGAAGTCGTCGTTAATTTCTGACGAGTTCAGATGCGATTTGGGTGGGATTTCAAAGAGAATAGAAGACAGCCGAAACCGTGAGAATTTTTGTGAGAAAAACTGAAAGAGAAGAAGATGAGAAAGTTCTACAACGCTACGTGACAAAGAAGAAGAGAAGAAAGGCTGCGACGCTGCGTGACAGAGAAGAAAAGAAGAATGGGCTGCGTGAGAGAAGACGATGGTCGCATATTAGGGATTTAAATTGTGGACCGGTTTTTTCGTCGGTCCCACTCATATTATCCGGTTTTCAACCAGTTTAAAACGGCTCAATACATATTAGCGGGTTTGAGGGTAACTCGAACCGGACATGTGACCAGTTCACGGTCCAACCCGCTGGTCCAGTCTGGCTTTTAAAACAATGATTGTAAGTAAAACATTATTGTAAGGTTATATTCTTCAAAACGAACAAAATACACAAATAGAGGTTAAATGGTTAATGAACTAAAGGTGTCAGGCTAAATATGATTTCTTTATATTAAATAGTTGAAATTTTTATATATTTCTAAGTCTGAATCAGAAAAAAAATAATTAATTGAGCTAGATGAAATTACATCTTTTTTGGAATGTTTGAAATGGAATGCCATAATTTACAATCTTGTCGGACATTGATAAATCAGATGATCAAAACATCAAGCACCAACCGATCATCTATTACTCAAAACACCCAAGTAATTAGTAGAAAATTGTAACTTCCAACAAAAACCATAAATAAAACAATTAAAACATCTCACCATATCGATTAAGAATCCATACATGAAATAGGAAATAAAGCTTAATTAATTAGCGATATCAAGTTAACAACTTTGGTTACACCATAAGTCAGTATATGCATGCTACCTAACTATAAGTCAAAGAGATCTATGTTACTCTAGATTTTTTTTGTTATACTAAAAATAAAAATTCGATATGATAAAGCATTTCAGAACTACAAATGCAAAAGATCAGTATCACATTTCCAGAATCCACTGCCCTCTCATTACTCACCAAGGTTTGATAGGCCAAGTTCAAGCCAATAATATCCAAAATCCCATATACAAGTTATATCAAAACAAACAGTTATTTACCAACAAAATCTACACTACTATTACATTTAACTTTCAAAATACTGTGTTTAAATTAGAAGCATTAGAAGTGAAATCAAGAAGAAAACACCTAATAATTTTTTATTATTGTATTCTATATCATAGGTTACAGCAGTCTAGTTATATAGACTTTATTAGGATATCCTGATAACTCTTAGGTCTAGGATTATTGATAATCCGAGGATTATACTAGTTTATTTAAGCTTTTAGGCCGGATTTCAGATACTTCTTAGTTATTTTTGCTTGAATTGCTACTTAATTCCTTACATTTCGTGTTTCAGGTTAAAATGGAAATTTTGAGTGAATAAAGACAGATTTGGAGTTTCTGGACTCAGAAGCAAGCGGAGGGCAATTCTGTAATTTCAGAATTCTTCAGGAAGCTTCACCGCGGCGAAGGTTGTTCTTCTCCGCGACGAAATGAGCCAGTCACACACCAGATTCAACTCATTTGTCGTCGCGGCAAGATTCCTTCTTCGCCGCGGCGAAGTCTGCATTCTCCAGTTTTTGTAAAATGCACAGTTTCGTTTTTAGGCTAAGTTTTAGGATTTTGGGCGAGGTATAAAAGAAATACTTAGTCTTTTTGTTTAGGGCGTTCATGGAGAGATAGACAACAGTTTTTACATTTTCTTAGATTTATTTCGAGTGATTTTGGATTAACAAAGTATGAAGATTCGAGGTGAAACCAGTGGATTTGTCAATTGGTGAGATTCTTTTCCTTTTCTCTTGTTTCCATGATGCTGAACTTGGAATTTTTTGTTTCTTTTAATTGTTTTATTGATTTAGCCATGAACTAACCTATTTTGGGTTAGGGTTTTGATGTAGTTCGGATTCTAATGGATTAGAGAGTTGATGATTATTAATTTCATATGAGTTTGCTTTTATTGTGTGATTATTCCATATTTATTGTTTTTATGTGATGAACATGATGAGATTGAGAGATAATTCATGTTAAGCTTCTTGGGTAATCACCATTGTATTATTGGATGCTAGAGATAGATTCAAGAACCAATGAAATCAATCTAGGATTCTTGTGCTTAATGAGCTTAGATTTATTAACTTTCATTTTGTTAGGTGCGGAAGGTTAATAGGGAAGAGTAGAAAAACATAACCTGAAAAGGTATGTTGGACACTTTAGAGAGTTCGGTTTACAATCAATGCATGTGAATATGAATTTAGTTTAATTCTTTAGGTTTAACCCATAGAGTCCGAATGAAGTCAAAACCCTACCCGTTTGTTTTGAATTGATTTTATCCCCTTTTAAATCTTGCTTTCATAGTTTACTTTTATTTTAGTGAAATTTTGTTTTAG